GCACACATGGAGCTACTGACTTAATGATTTCTTTTTACAATGATTTCTATTAGCAAACATAGAAACAGCTAGCTTGCTTTCATATTTCTGGAGCAGCATTATACTTTTACTATATAACCTTAGGGCTAAATCAAGCGGAAACACACCATTCCTAATATTATGTTTATTAGACCTGGTGAGCAAGAAGCAGTAAACATCAAAGATGACTCAGAAAGATATGTGCATACCAGAGGAAAGGAGATAAGTACCATGAACGGCCAGGGCCTGGAAACATGGGTAGCTTCCAGGGGCCCAATTACATTACCATGCTCAAATAGGTCAGAGTTAACAAGTGATAAATTGCTACCCCTTACATCTTTCACCAGGAAGGTGCTAAAATGCTTGGGGGCCTCTTTGGATTTTGGAGCAATGTGTGTTACATTTGGTTATGCTGATCTGAACTAGGTATACATACCAGGTAACCCACAAGTCTGACAGATCCTGGAACAAGAAAAGAATCTACAACCTATCCTTCCTATGATAAGGGAAGCCCTATAAGTTTGGCCCTAAGATCCAGCAGGTATAATGAGTTTTGGAAACGGGTATAGCAGGCATAGATGCTGTAAGACTACATCAATATGACCATCAATGTGCAGCTCCCTAGGGCTTTTGGAGTAGTACTCTCTTCCAGCAATTGCCACTCTCTACTCGAAAAGCAGCTACTGACTTGATAACAATTGTTGGCTAAGACTGAGGACCAGATCATGAGACTCCAAACGATTATTCGCCCCAACTAGTGAACTAGGTGTTATCCTGATCATATCATCCTAGCATGTCAAAAAACAGGATTGCACAGTCATATTTCATTGTTAGATGAAACCAGAGTAAAGCAGGTTTGGGTAGCCCAAGTGTACTGCATAAGCAAGTAGCTTAGATGTCTCTGATACTTGTTCCTACTGCTTCATAATCTGTTTCAACCCACATGGATAGCCTCATGGGGAGCTGTCAATAATCAATCAATGTACAATGAAAACATATGGACCCAGTTTATAAATTGATTACAAGAATATTGGTAGAATCTGTGACTATAGTTACAGCCTGGGTAGGTATAGAACACTTATAGAGTAGTAAAAGGATATTACCCTAGCAAGTGAAAGTTCAGATTGTACATTTGACTCAATACTTTGCATGGAAGGAAAGATAGATGAGGTAATGATACATGACATGGCCAGATGGTCAGAGACATGGACAAACAAGACTGAAATGCTGGTGACAAGAAGATGTGTGAGAGTTCTATGGATGAACCTCTCAGAATCAGTACATGTGACTATCTGATGCCCTTTGTAATTTCCATCAAAGTAAATCTTACTCACTGTGGAGGTGGTTCTTAGTAATTTGGACCAGGTGAGATATTTATCAGCCAGATTCTTTGCCAGGCTACTCTAGCGATTACTAAATGGGCTATGTACAAAGTGACTATATGTGTCATATGGTCAACAACAGACTTCTCACTCTCTATGACTGACTTAACTACCAGCACTGCTGATTTCCCAACTTTCCAAATGCTGACACCCTGACATGGCTATGGTGTCATTTCCCAGGAGACTCAACCAGCCAATTGAGAACAGGCAAGTTATACTGGAATCCTGATTCCATGGATTAGGTAGTAATTTATCCTCAAAGAAATGGATACATATTTACAATATGATTTTGCTTTCCTATCCCTCAAATTTTAACAGCTCCACCAGGCATAGATTAAACAGAATACCTTACCATTTGTCCTGATATTTCATACCATATTGCCTTCAAATAAGATACTCATTTTATAGTAAAGGAAGTATAGCAATGGACCTGTGCCCAAAGAACTCACTGGTCATACCTATGCCTCATTGTCCAGAGTCCAGATTGCTAAATGGAATGGTGTAGTGGCCCGCAGCAGAGTGATTCCTGTATGGTTGCCAGTGGGGACAGTTTAGTTGTGTCCTATAGAATACAGTATATCCTGAAAAGCCATCTCCTCCACAGCCAGAAAGCACAGTCAACACAGAGATAAGATGAAGGTAAAAGTGGCCACTCTGCTACATAAATTAAATCAAGTAAGAAATATAAAAAACAACATTTAAAGAATTTTACCTTCATATCCTGTGATCAGAGATATTGGTGGATTAGAGATCTCACTGCCCAAGGAAGAAAATTTCCACTAGGGAACCAAGCTCTGTTGTCATGGAAGATGAGGCTGTCCCTGACTCTTTGAGGTTCCTCAAGGTGCTGAGCTAATACAGAATGAAATGGGCTCCTGGCTGTTAATTGATTTGATTGCTAAGACAATTGGGGGGTATTGTTATATAATGGGACGGGTGCTTGGCACATGGGTTCTATGGGGATACATCTGAGAACACACTTGTCTAATAATCCTGGTCATTAAAAACTACAGTGACCCAAGCAAGACACGAGACCAAAGGCTGAACTCAAGGGAATAAATACTGAGTCACTTATCAGATAGATACCTTTGTCCAATCCAGACGATAAAGAGAGTAAGGTTAAGATGGATTTGGTAGTGGAAGAAGAAAGCTATGAGGATCAACTTGGACTTTTTTTTTTTTACCAATTAGGGAAGCATGAACTTAGGCAACTACAGTTAATCTGCTTGTTTTTATTCCCTTTTCATCCACCGGTGGTGGTTATATTTTCAGATTCTAGGTGTTTTAACAGAACAAATGGTAAAACTCGAGGCGAGAGGCAACGGGATGGTGTGTGCCTGACGGTCTCCTGCTGTTGTTCCAGACTTCTCACTTTCTACCCGAGGCCACGACGGTGACTTCTATGGACGGCATACAAAGTGCTTTCTTACTGACTTCTGTTTCATTTTAGCCAATGGAAAGTCTAGATGGTGACTGGAGGGTGCGCAAGTGAAAGTCAGAATGCCAGATCAGCAGTGGCCACACTGCTCTCAAGGACAGGGTTCCCGCAGGACAGCCTCTCCTACAGCCAGCAGCTCTCTCCTTGGTGGCCCAGTGACTGCTCTTCACCAGCAGCAGGGCTCCTGAGGATTCGAGCCTCCCTCTCCCCTTCTGGTTTCCTTCAAAACTGCCTACACTATTGTAAATAATCACTCCATTCAGTTCTTAATTACCCAGTTTGAGCGAGCCATCTGTTTATATATGGCAAAAAATCATGACGTGGTATACCAAATTGCACATCACCAAGACAGCAGTCACAGGGACTAAGGCGTGACTTACCAAGATCAGTTACACACGTAACTTAGCATTAGCTATACTACATCAGGGTATTAAAAGCAATATTGTGCCAAGAATGAAACCAGTTACAATTTTGCCAAAACATCATGTAATAGTTATGTTCATGAAATCCTATGTTGCACCAGTCTCCAACTCAATAATATATTTTTTCTTCTTTTTATCAATAATATTTTAATAATCAAGAATATATGGCTTGCTATAAAGGACATATGTATCATATCTTAAAAAAATCTTTCAATAAACAATAGTTGTCTTATAATAAAACACCACCACTTTAAAATATACTTTTGTTGATAGCATTAAAATAAAACATAAAATGTTGATAGTGACAAAAAAGTGAAATGTTCTGAGTCAGGATGGTAAGTAAAATATATTCATAAAATATATTGTTTTAGTGTTTGTGTTTATTTCATTTTTGTATAGCTGCCCAAATTCAAGAGTCAATGTTTAAAGTAGCTTTACATATTTTACATGAAACCTAGCTATAGCCTTGAGAATTAACAAGAAAAAAATAAAGAAATGATAATACAGCATTGCCTCAAAAGCCACAGCATTCTCTAATATAACTTGTAAACATAAATGAAAATATAATTCGTGTTCTATCCTCATATTAAAATTAAACTGTTAAATGTCATTATAGATAAAAGGAACACATAAAATTGGCTTGGAGTGTTAATTTTCTACCTTTAACTTGGTTATGGTAATACATGCTAAAAGTCAAATGAGATTCATTCAGAATTCCTATTCACTATGTCTTTTATGTGCTGTATTCTGGTGGTATTTTTTAAAAACAAATATTATTTTAAATATTTTAATGATGATTTATGAAGCAGAAGAATGTTTTTGATACCTACTGACAATAGTTCAAGAGACAGAGAATTAAGATGGAGTATACATACTTCTGAATGTGCATTATATTTTCAAGTTTCTAAGTAACAATATTAGGTTTTCATGAAATCAAAGCCTGGACACATTATAAGTAAAATATCTGGCTTTCGTCTCCTTTGTAGTAACTGATGCATGTAACTGTGAAATTTCATTTGGTCTTCCATTATCTTGGTAATATGAATTGTATTATGTCCTTGTACCCCCGCCCCCCAAAATATGTATTCCAAATCCTGACCTCTGCTCCTGAGTTTATAACCCTATTTAAAAATGGGTTGTCTTTACTATGTTAGAGGGAGGATTAAGATAGGGTATCTACAGAGTTGATGTCTTTTGAGATGTGAAAGAAATTAAATAAGCAAGTGAGAGCAGGTGAGAGTAAGAGAGAAGCAAAAAAACACGAAGACTGTCTGGAGCGGACTCTTGGAAGAAACACGACAAAGAAAGAAACCCTCCTTAAGCCAATTCAGACTTTTAGCCTCTTACGTGGGAAACAATAAATTTATTTGTTAAAGCTATCCACTTGTGGTATTTCTCCTATAGAAGCATTAGATAACTAAGACTCTCGGATTAACCAAATTTACTGCATTGATAATTAAGATAAAACATTTTTAAATTCTAGATATTTTATATAGCATCTGTTGCTCTTACCTCAGTGGCTCTGAATAAGACATGCTTCAGTTGTCTATTTCTTTTTTGCCAAGTCTGCATGGCTCAAAATGAAAGGCCATATGTGTCTTGTAAGACCTATCAGTTATACAGTTATAATCATTGTATAGCTCATTCCTAGATACATACCAAATGACTTCATATATTAATCTATAGTACCTTCCTGAATTAACATACTTTGGCCTTCTTCTCAAAGTTGGGAAAGCTTACCAGAGTGGGTCCTGAGGTGTCCTGTGAGGGCGTCCCTTCTTCTACAGGCGTAGCTGCAGAAAGGACATTTGAACGGCTTCTCTCCAGAGTGTAACTTTATGTGCCTCAGAAGGTTGCCCTTCTGAGTAAAGGAAGCGCCACACTGGTTACAGTGGAAGGGACGTTCACCTGTGGGGGAAAAAAGAAGTAAGAAAAGTGAAGTTGACTATGTATGTGCCAGTGTCTAAATTTGTCACACAAAGTTAAGTAGAGCTAGTTCCCTGGGCTAGAACATAGATTTCTTCTCCCTTAGAAGTCTTGGAAGGTTCTATCTTGCTAATACCAAAGTCTCAAACTCTAAAAATACAAATGGCTGCCTCCCATCTATATATAATTTGACAGGATTCCTGTCATTGATTCAAAGGAGCAGCACTCATAGATATTACCGGCCGGTTAAGCAACTAGGTACTATTGCTTTACTGAGTCCTTTGTTATTCATGATGTCCATCCTTACAACTACATTAGACTTCCAACACTCACTGCCATTGGGTCATTTCCAATTTACGTGTGAAAAATTTGAAGTTCAAAGTAACATCACAGAGTTACCAAGTACTCAGTGAGAACTGCATCCTAGTCAGCATGATTACAAAGTCTTGTTCTCAACATTTTACCAGGTTCTATCTAAAAGCAGTAAAAATTTTGAGTTGGAGGAGAACTTAAAGCTCATTAAATCCAACTCCTTTTTTTTGTTGATAAGGAAAGGGGCCTGAGAGGTTAAATGCATGAACAAGGTCATAAAGCTCATGACCATAAAATTTCTAGTATAGCCCAGATCTCTTGATTTTCCTGGCACTAAAAATAGAATTTCTCTGATATATCAGGGGAAATCCTAAGAAAATTATTCAACCAGGCATTTCTTTTTGCTGTGAAAAAATATTTGCTTGATAGGAATCTTTTTTCCCCTTTTCTAGTATCATTAGTATTGCTATAAAGTTATTCATGCCTAAATTATCATTGCAGTCTGTTATAACTGGTAAAATCAAATATAAGACATATAGGTACTAATGCAATAAAACTGGCAATTAGAGAGAAACTGGCAACAGTAAACCATAAATATAATGTTGCTGGGTTGTTTATCCATCTTTGAAGACAAACATAAAATATATTACAAATTAATATAAATAAATAACATAAATGCATCGTATTAAAGCTAAAGCTTAGAATAAATTTAAAAGTATTTACTTTCAGGTAAAACTAGGTCATTCCTCTAAGTTAAAGTAAGGTCTTTGTAAATTTTAACAGCTTTCAAAATTTTACTCTGAATGATCATATTTTATCTATCTTTACATGAAGCAGTAAACATAACAGTGAACAATTGAAACTCCCTGTTCTTTTCTCTCCATTAGATATATTTGAAAAGCTCAATGATTCTTCACTTCTGGCAGCAAGTCATAGAAAATACTATCATATAGTTCTGTTACAATTCCTAAAGATTAAAAACTTGATAGACTGCATTACAAATTCCATAGGACTTTTCAACTTTTGACTTTAGTTAAGTATACACCAAAACAATAAAATATGTATTTGTGGGAGTTGTTTCTTAAGAAAATCGGCAATCTTATGAGCTAGGTTTATACAAAATCCCATACTGATTGATCAGTTAGTGAAAAAATAAAATAAAATGATCTACCATGTTAAAGTTACCTTAAATTTTAATCCTATTCAATGTATCAATTCCTTTATTACAACTGATTATTGTTTTTCAGCAGTAAATGCATCTTAAGAGAAATAGTCTACTTAATATTCAAATTACTTAGTATTTATGAATAAAAATTTAGAAACATAAATTTAACAGATTTTTTCATTTTAAATACATATACACATATGCAGTTAGCATATATAATTTAACACTACTCTGATTCAGTTTTTAAATAAAATAATAGTCTATAATTTAAAAAATCTGGATTTTCTAAACCTTATCCTGCCATGGAATCGATAATAGTTGAGAACAAGTTACCTTCTTCATGAAATTAACTTGGTAAAGAGAGTAGGATCATAGGAAATGCAAATTATATTTTTCCCAGAAAACATCTGATTTTTACTTTTGAAAGACATTGGTGTAGCTTTTCCCAGGCAAGTAACAAACTAGTATAATTGACTAAATTGATGTGGTAAGCAAAATAACTTGAACTTATATTTTCATTGGAGAAACACTCCTAAATAAGAGAATTATTTTTTCACCTCCTATAGTTCCTGAGTTGAAATACTTTAAAATCCCCAGATTTAGAGTGGTAAATATCATTCAACAGCATGATACTCTACAAGAGAAAGCATAGTAAAATAACCTTAAAAAATTTTAATTCACAAGATGGACAGCTTCAAATAGCACCAACTGATTTTGACTAGACAAATGATGGAGTAGAGTCCCCAGGGGGCACAAACAGTTAAGCACTTGACTGCTAGGCAGACACTTGGTAGTCAGAGCTCAACCCAGAGGTGCCTCAGAGACGGGGCTCTCAGTCTGCTTGGAAACTCAAAAGCAAGCCCAAATGGGATCACTTGAGTGCACTCTGACAAACTAGCGACAATGCTTAGGTCATTGGGGTTTACGTTCACATAATATTCCAGATAGCTTCATCTTAAAAAAAGATATGAGTTTAAATGAGTCTACTCAAAGGGGTAGGTTTTACTGGGGAAGATTGTGTTCACTGCATCCCCTCCCCTTGGGAAGTAAAATAAAAGCATGATGAAAGCAACCAGTCAGGTCCCTGCTTTGATAAGAGATATGCACTGAAATCAACAACGCACTTTGATTTCATACCGATAATGCCTTTAGAATAAGAAATGATCAATGTTTTTTTTAAAAAAAACTTTGGAAATCCCAAAATGAAGTGAAGGCCCCCTTAATTATTCTTAAAAAAAAAAAACTTGATTACATAAAAATATTATTAGTTGAAAAAAATGACCTATTGTTTTTTGCATTCCCTAAAAAATTGAGTTGGATTTACAGTGAAACCCTCAAAACGCCTGTTGGAGACAATGATGGAAAAGGAAGTGGTTAACTTATGTGATGTCCTACTTTCAGTATGCACAGTTGTTTTTCAAAAATTGCCTAACCTAAATATAGGAACCATATACAAATCTGTTGAATAGGAAATCAAAAATAAATGCATTCATGTAAAAAATGGGGGGAACAGCAGGGGGTCCCAGCAAAACATCAGCGCGTTCTTTACTCAATGTCATAGTATATTTCTTGGCCTGTAGTATAGAGATTTGTGTACCCTTATTTGCTAATAAAGTTAAAAGTTTGGTTAACTACCTGAATTTCTAGGTAACTTCAAATAACACATCTCAATGATTTCTTTTAAAAAAATTGTTTTCTTTAAACTAAAGGGGCTAAATCAATTAGTTCCTTTGCAAACTGTTTAAACATTGTCTGAAAACTATTAATCATGTTCTTCACTTGCAAATCAAGGGCAATTTCAAAATTTATGCTTACAGAGTAATCCAATTCAAACCATCATGAGATGGTTTTGATGCTGGCTAACCCTGCCATGAATGGATCACAGTTCCGGATCCAAAGGAATAAAACGTGCTTTTCCAATTTAATGTACTAAACTACTTAAGGACTTATTATTTTTACAGTGGAGTAAATTTTATTTCAGTGCCTTCTGTACTTCCTCAGGAGAATCCATGGATGGTTCCAACATACGTTGGGATGCTAGCAGAAAGATTAGCAGTTTGAGTCCCCTCAAAGATGTGGTGATCTTTCTAAAATGAGCCCGTGAAATCCCCTGCTGGAGCTCAGTTCTACTCTGACACATATAAAGTTGCCCCAAATTGGAAGAGACTCCATGACAACTAGCTATGTACTTTTACAGCCATCTGTGTCTAGATCTATGTTTAAATATTCAAGTCAGATGAAAGTATACATATACCAACTCATGTTGGTCTAACAAAGCCCGAAGGTATCCCTTGGCCAGACTGACTAAAAACTTACAAAAGCATCTGAAGAAAGGACCTTGGAGCAAAACAATGGCTCCACAAAGTTGTAATAAAATATGCTGAAAACTTCAAGTGACCAAGATGGGCAAATTCAAGCCCAAAGGGAATCAAACGTGAAAACATTCTATATTTAGAAGGTTTCTAATGTTTGTGCATGAGTGGATTCACTCTCCTACTTTCTCCCTCTTTGAGTCGCAGTGAAGAGTGCCTGGGGTATCCGACGACAATATTACCTGATTAGCCACTAGAGCAGCAATACCACAGGAGTAACCCAAACCATTATGGAGACACTGGGATTGGCATGTTAGTACAGGGTAGAAGAGAAAGAAGAAGTGAATTGGATCTGATCCTCCATGATAACGTGAGGAATTAGGTCGTAAGACATCACTTGTCTCCAAACTTATGCCTTAGACATTCTATGAACTAACACACACACACTCACACACACACATTATGCTTACCACGGGCTTTACAAGGAATGGAAACAATGTCTTTTATACTCCTTATTAAATTGGCAGGTGTGTGTTTTTGTGGGTGCGTAGTGTCAGTTCTAGAATGAAGACAGTATCTCATGATATTAAGGAAAATACTTGATATGTATGATAAAATTCTTACTATATGTTTTTCCCTCAATCTAGTTTAAATAAATGCAAATAGATTTTCAAATAGTGCTAAAATGGAGTTGAAAATATCATGTATAAATTGAGTTTTCAAGAAAAATAATTCAATTAGGTAATTTAAAAAATTAGTTCTACAACTTCAAACAATAATAAAACCCCTCCAAATCTAAGGATGGTGGAATGATTTTCACAACATGCTAACACATGTAATATAACAATAGTAGTGAAAATATTTACGGCTATTCAGTCTGTTCTGTTTGAAGTCAGTAGATGAGTAGAACCAATATGCTTAAGTGTGGGAGAAATCTATATATTTAGAAGTATTTACTATGTAAATTAAATCAATTTATGAAGGAAAGTAAACTCCCATAGCAATAAATTTAAAATATACAACAGCAGAGAAATTTAATTACTTATGTTTTTAAAAATGCCAATAGTCATGACAATTCACTGCAGATATAGTAAAACACTGATTATCCTAAATATTCAGCAGAATGCATTCTTGTTTGAATTTTTAAAATTTAGAACACAATAGTTATATTTTGAAAATTCTTCACAAAATGTTATATGTTTCAGCCTTAACATTATATGCAAAGCAACTCACAAGTCATTAGGCTGTTTTATTCAGTTTTCATTTTATTATACACACCTACTGTCATGGAGTTGATTCCGCCTTTAAGGACAGAGTAGAAATGGCCCTGGGGTAAATTCTGATGAGAGCCCACAGCCTCATTGTCCTCCTGAGGAGCAGTTGGTGACTTGGAGCTTCTGCCCTTGCACCAAAACCACCCATTACCCTTCAGCCAATTCTGTCTCCTAGTGACCCTGTAAGACAGGATAGAATTGCCCCCTTCGGATTTTTGAGACTGTGAATCTTTATAAGAGCAAATGGCAGGTAGTGTGTTTGAACTCCTAATTTTATGGTTAGCAGACCTATATGAAATATAACCTACTATGCCACCAGTGCTCCTTTTAACTTATTAAAAGGTAGAGTTTACAGATTTGAATGTTACAGTTCAATATAGTCACTCTAAAGTCATGCTCAGATCAAAACCTATCGGGCCGAACTGTTCTTTTAGAACTGTAGTTAGAATAGCTTCAGAGCATAAAAGAAACACAGACTCATTATTTTATGCCCCCCCCGCCACTTTTAATTTCCAATATTATATGAACAATTGTGATCTTCCAATTTGTCAGGAGAGAATTCTTTTTTAATTAAAGGGGGAAAAATCACTGGTAAATATACTTTAAAAACAAATTTACCAAGGAAATTAAAAATAAAGGGAAAAAATATAGTGAACTATGATAGGTATAAATGATTGTGCTCTAAAGTAGAATATTTTGATTATGATAACACTGATTTTGATTTGTAACTTCTCACTGGTTTTATATGTGTAACTGGAAAAAAAAATCACCATTAGTTTGAAGGCATGCCCCAAATAAAATGTTTATCTATTGACAAACAAGTTGACCTGGGCAACAAGAAAACTGGATCTAGCCTCAGTAGTGCTTACCTCTATAAGGCCTAATGGGCATACCACTGACTGGGGCTTCAGCATCCTCATGTGTCAATGAGAGGTTTGGACCAAAAGACTTCAGGGCATCCTTGATCTTTTATGTTCTAAGCACATACTTGTTAAATTGATTATTTAAAGTAAATCTTACTGATCAATTTCTTTATTGTATTTTATCTTTTCCTCATATCTAAATTTCATGATATAATTAATAGTTTGATGTGACACTATTTTGATGTAAATAAAATCTATATTTCCCATAAAATCAACTTTCATTTTAAGTTGGAACTTTTTTTTAGTCACCTTTCTTATCAGAATCTCATTTCTGTTGTCCTTTTTTTTAAGTAAAATATTTAAAGATATTTAAATAAGACTTTCTCATTTTTTGATTTTCATGAAGGGACTTTCAAGTACTCAAGGTCTAAAAGTATTTATTAAATCGATGGATGAGCCCTATAGGACCAGTGGTGTGAGTGACAAAACAGGGAGGGTAAAGGGAGAATGGGTAGGAAAGAGGGAACCGATTACATGGAACTGTGTGTGACCTCCTCCCTGGGAGACAGACAACCGAAAAGTGGATGAAGGGAGAAGTCGGACAGGGCAAGATATGACAAAATACCCATTTATAAACTATCAAGGGCTCATGTGGGAGGGGGGAGCGGGGAGGGAGGGGAAAAATGAGGACCTAATGTCGGGGGTTTAAATGGAGAGAAAATGTTTTGAGAAATGATGTACAAATACGCTTTACACAATTGATGTGTGTATGGATTGGGATAACAGTTGTATGAGCCCCTAATAAAATGTTAAAAAATAAAAATAAATAAAAATAAATAAATTAATGGAAGGGCTTTTCCTTCAATCTACTCCAGGATTACAAATTCCTACCTTCACTACTGCCATGCCACGTCTTAGTCCACCTTATATGTCTCTTTGTAAGAGTTATTGTTTTTTAAAAAAATTAGAAGTTGGTAATAACCCTGAACTCAAGGAAGCTCCTGCCTATTACAGAGACCTGTGGAAGGCAAAGATTGATTGGAAATTGTATTCCAGGGAGGTAACCAGATAAAGCGAAAATTATTCACCCCTATATAAATGCATGAGTGCTATTTTATAATATTAACTCATAGCTAGCAAACTATATTACATGCCCATGGGCATGGTAAAATATGTATAGAAATACAAAAAGATTAAGTCACACAATGAGATTCTCCTCTACCTTTTGAACCCTTATCACATTATTGCTATATTAAGAACTGTGGAAACTGGATCCTAAGCTTCTTTTCTGACATGCTATTTAGATTTTTAGGCTGGAAGTCAAGACCAGACTATTCTCTGCTTTTCAGCAATCCAATACTAGCAGAATTCTGAAAAGGTGGTTCCCACCACTGACACCCCTGGATGAAAAGGAAAGAGAAGAGATGTCAGGTAATATCAACATCAGATGGCACAGGCAGTCATCAGGTTATTCTTTCAGCTGCTTACCAGTGTGACTCCTTTTATGTACCATAAGCACATTGGGCCCAATGCAAACCATGCCACAGACGTCACATTTCAGTTTACCATTCGGAAGCCGGATTCCTCCCTCGCCTTGAAGCTCCTGGACTTTCCTGTTGTCGATCACCTCACTGTTGTCAATTAGGGGTTCTTCTAGGCTGCTACTCTCATCATGGCCCCTGATCTCGTCTTCGCGGCTCAGGGGTTTCCTGTCACACTCTTCATCACTCTGCATTTCTAGCTTTACTGAATTTGCTGTAATTAAAAAATAAGAAAACAAAAGATTATAAATACACATTATGTGTTCTTTCTTAAATTCCTGTCTTTCTCCTGAAATGCCACTTGACTAACATTGGGGTTACCCAATGGAACATGATGAATATGATATGTTAGTGAGGCCGTGGCATGGAAGTGAAGATGTTGCAGGCAAGCTCTAGGTAAATAGGATGACCCTTCATTTCTATACAGAGTTGTCTCTTGAACTCAGATCCTTCCTTTTTAAGCAAGTTGGTAAATAATTCTGGTATTGGCTCTTTTGTTTGGCAGTAAGATCACAGATAAATTAGGTTTATGGAACAGACAAGACTGGATAATGCCTAACCCACAAAATCATGCCCCCTTGCAATTTCACAAGCATTATATTCACTTCATGTTCTAGCTTTCACCTCAGACTACTTGTGCCAACCTGCTTCTGAGCAGAGCAGGGAAACCGCTCCGATCTCAATCCAGCGGATGTCTTAGCACATAAAGGCACACTCTCAAGCAGGCATCCTAAAAGTCAGATTGAATACACATATCCAGTTGAGATCTGTAGGCCAGATCGCACCGATCTCACATGCCCTTAAGTCATTTTGTTTTTTTAATTTTCTAGGTAAAGGAAATATGCGATGGAATATATTAGTCTGCTAATCAAGGTACTCCAGCTCTAAGCTCAATGCACCAAGAAGCCCTCGATGACAAAGCATGCAAGCACATACTTGCGCCTACTAAGACACTGAATGTCTTCTATTTGCTATTGTTGGACTATCCCACAGAAAAGTTGGAATCTTCTTAGCACGGCTCTCATTCTGGATTGCTGACAGTCTTTTCACAGAGCAGAAGCAAGCTCTAAATGAATACTAGTGGGGTTTGTTGTTGTTTTTGAAGGCTGATCGGCCC